ATTACTTTAAATTAAAAGAAAATAGATAATAAAAATAAAAAATAAATTTGAAGTTAAAAAATACTTAAAAATAAAATATAAAAAAAAATACTTGTCTTAAATAATATAAAACAAATTTAATGATGGATTAAAATAGAACAACATTTATAAGAGACTATTTACTTTTATTTATGATGGATTAAAAGTGGAAATATATTTAAATTTATAATTTTATTTATGAAACACATTTAAATTTATAATTAACAAAAATAATAAAAATCTTAAAAAATATGATACTTCTAGTAATGTATTTTTTTATAAATTTAAACTTACTTTTTTTTTAGTTTAGTTTTTATATTTTATGTATTATTATTATTAATTGATATGCTAGAATAAATTTGTATAAAAATAGTCTTTATCTTCAAAATTCACTTCTTCAAATTCTATCTTTATATTTTTTTTACTGTTTCTTTATAGTTAAGAAGGTCAACATTTATGCACACACTTAAATATAATATAAAGTAAAGAGTATTTGTTTATTCTATTTTATTTCCAATCTATAATTTTACTATTTTTTTAAAATATATTTTATATTTTTAAAATTAATAATTTGAATGTAGTTATCTAAACTTTTGATGTGATGATTTTAATCAATTGATATTATCGAACCATTTTATTTGATTTATTATAGTAAAAATCATAAAAATAAATGTTAAAATAATATTAATTATTTTAATTTATAAGAAAATAAATAATAAAAATAGAAAATAAAGTATCCTATAAAAGAAGACTAATTATTGTAAAGATAAAATAGAATATGGGAGGAGATGAGATGATAATGTAGTAGAAATGATAGAATTTTAAAAAAAGTGTAGAATGTGAGAAGTTTAAAAAGAAAAAAATTTAAAAAAGATATATACATAAGTAGTTAGATTAAATTTGTTATCCCCTCATATATTATTATACATTATTAGCGTAATTTTAGTTAAATTAAAAATTAGAATACATATATACTATATTAATATATTATAATATTTGTAATTTATTTTCATTGTGTATAAATTACAAAAAAACTAATAATTTTTAAAAATTTTAATGATAATATTTTTAACTTATATATTACAAAATATTTTTAATACTTTAATAAATATAACTTTTTTTAAATATATTTCATCAATTTAAAGTATAATATTTGGTATTTTTTAGTATTATTTTTAAATGTGGATATCTTTAATATTTTGTACATGTAAATATAATTTATATATGTTTTTAAACCTTTTTCTAAATTTTTTTAAAAAATATAATATTATTTTTAATATTTAACTTTTAAATTTTAAATTTTAAATTTTTTTTCTTAAATGATGAATGAATAATATTAATACTTTTTAATTAATTAAATTTATAAATAATGAATTAAAAACATTTATTATCTTTGGAAAAATATAATATTATCTTTAATATTTTAATATTTATATTATAAATTCTTTATTAAAATATTATGGTTTTTGTCTTTTTCTTTTCTTTCATCTCTACTTCAAGCTATCAAGAATTTTTTTTCCATCTTATACATTAAATTTTAAATATATAAATATGTAAATATATAAATATAAAAATATATAAATAAAAAACTATAACAAATATAAATATATAAATATATAAATATAAAATTATAAAAATATAAAAATATATAAATATATAAATAGATCAATATATCAATATATAAATATATAAATATATGAATATATAATTATATCAAAATATATAAATATATTTGTATTTAGAGATTTTATATTTATATATTTATACGGATATACATTTATTTGTATATAGATTATATGTAAGTTATTACTGAAAAATACTAGTAGCTTAGTGGTTGGAGCATCAGCCTCTAACTCTAAAGTATCGAGTAATAGAGGGTTGTAAATAAAAAAACGTAAATTTAACTTTGTCATCAATTTAGCGATCAAAATTATATTTAAATAACTTTTTAAATATATTAACAAATTTGAGATAATAAGATGCACATTTTTTACCTTACAACTTAGGGGATGATTTTTCAATTCCTGTTTTGCATGTATTGTTTCTACTTTAGTTAAGTTTCAAATTATATTTTTACCTTTATCATGTATTATTTCATCCATGTACCTTTAATCTATAACTTTTTAATATTTTCTTTCATTAATTTAAATATCTAAAATTTTAACAAAAATTTTATACTAATTTTATTTTATATTATATCAAAATTAGATATAATAAATTTTAATAAATATATTATATGTATTTATTACAAATATAAAATAAATAAATATGTATATATATATATATATATATATAATATGTAAATATATAATATATAATATACATTTATTAATATATAAATCTATCAAAATAAATAAATAAATAAATATATATATATATATATATATATATAGGTGAAAAAAAATGAAAACGTAGTTGAGAATTCGATCCCATAAAGGAACCAAATTCTAACTGCTTTTTTAATGTCATGTAGGCATTTTTTTCATTTGCACTTCGTTTCTTGAAAATCAAATTCTAACCTTGTATAGCAAATAGGTATGTAAATAATATTGGAGCATATCCATCTCACTAATTAAATATTAATTTAATATTATTTTAGAAAAAGAATCATTTAAATAATTTTTTAAATTTATTTTTAAATAATAAGATATAAAATATAAAATATTTTTAAAGGTTAATAAGAAAGTGTGAGGTTAGATTAAAAAAATTGATAAATATAACTTTAAGATGATTGGGAATAACTTTAAAAAAAGAAAAAAAATTATATATATATATATATATATATATATATATATATATATATATATATATATATATATATAAAGGTAATATGAAAAGAAGTAAAGGGAAAAAACTACATTTTATTTCTATCACAACTTTAATTAATAAACAATAAACAGAAAGTACGTGTAGTCATACTCGTATATCCTATGTTATTTTTTATATAAATTAAAATTATTACACTAAAATATGTACTTTAAGAAGTTGAAGATTAAAACAAAGTCTAGTTTATCGTAACACACCAAAATCATTTTAAAGGAGATTAGCAAAATATAATGAGTAAATTGATACTCGCATCAAATTTTATTCTTCAATAATGCAATTAAAATAATATATTATTTTATCATATTTAAATTAAATTAAAAAAAAAAGACATTATATTTTTTGTATTTATCCCAAATATTAATAAATTATTATTATTATTATTATTATTATTATTATTATTATTATTATTATTATTATTATTATGCTAATAAAATCAAAATTTAAAACGGAGCAACATCCATGCAATATACAAATCTCACTTTCTATGTTGGAACACATACTTATCTTAAAGTCACATTATTATATTCTTTGATCAAATAAATGTACATTAACCTAATACATTTCGTTCATAAAATTGTAACAAAATTTGTTACCTAATTAATTATATTAGGAGGGCAAGTCTTCCAATCAAATAATTATAAATAAAATTTGTGTATCAATCTATTATATGAATATGTAATTTATATTATCTTATATGTTCTAACGATTTGGATCATAAAAATATAAAATATCATTTAAAATTAATGTACTAACCCTTATAACTATTTTATTAAACAACTATGTAATCTTGATTGTGAATGGAAATAGTAGAAGTAAATTCAATACCTGAATCTAAATTAAATTTTAAAGACCATTCTGTTTTTTAAAAGTTTTTTTTTTTTTTTTAGTTTTTCATAAACTATGATGCGATTCTCATGCATATATATATATATATATATATATATATATATATATATATATATATGAAAGATTTTTTACGGTTGTGTCATGTGCGATATTATGAATAGTTGGATCTATAGTAAATTTTAAAAATTTTAGAAATTTATTCTATAATGATAAGCTTTATTATGCGGTAAATTTCTTCTCCTGAATGATATTTTTGGAGGGCACCAAATTTATTTTTGAATGCTCCTTTTGAAAGAACATTTTTTATATTGGATGCAATAAAATTTAAATAACAATTAAGAACAATTTTATCATTTTATATTTTTTTAAGAGTGCATGGGGAAATTTATAAACCCAATGAGGCCTTGATCTTTTATTGCTTTTGGGCCAACAAAAAGGTCTTAAAGTGTTTTTGGATTCGCGGGCTTTGGTAGAGACTAGAGAGTACTCTAGAATATCAAGTCAATAATAAACTTTTAAATTGAAAAAAAAATTCAACTATTAATTTCTTAATAATAAGTTTTTTGTATTTACTTTATTTAATACTGGAAATTTTAGTCTTTATATCATTTGAATAATATATATGCCAAAGTTTAGAAAATTTGAACGCTCATTGGTATATAATCTTATAATCATTGATTACTTATATTTTAGAAATTTTATTATTCAATAAAATAAATTCAGTTGATGAAATAATATCAAATGCTTTTAAAACCATATTAAAATTTAAATATTTGATCTTCATAATGTGACCTATCAAATAATAAATTTAGATTGATGAAATGCTAAAGTTATCAAAGTAAGAGGTTGCTTTTCATATTTATCCCTAAACCACCCATATAACTTAATATATAATTAATTTATATCATTTCTATTCTTTTTAAGGGAGGGTAAATACTCAATTTGGTTTTTAAATAGGTAAAGTGTAGTCAAAATTATCTTTAAAAAATAAAAAGTTCCTAAATATGTTAAGAATTCTTTAATTGAGTTATATTGGTAATTTTTATCATTAAAATAGATTTTAAGGATTAATTTACAGTTACTTTAAAATTATTGCGTCATTAAATGATAATATAATAGATCAATTTGAGTTTTTTGCACATTTAAAATTTAAATTCATTTTGTATTTAAAAAAAATAAATTATTTGTATATATTTAAAGGCCAAGTTAATTATTTTTGTATTATATTTTAAATGTAATGTATAAAAGCAAAAAAAAATGTTAGAATTTATTTTCATCCAAAATTTTTGAGGGAGTTGGCAGTAGTGTACAGCGTCTGATGTGCGACAAAGACCGGTCTCGTTCCTTTTGGCAACTCTCGAAAGCTACGACAAACACGCAGCCACGTGTCACATCGTCCTCGAGATCATACATGACACGTGGACGGCATGGACGAGACAAACCAGAAACTTTTGCATTTATATACCAAAATTAAAGGTTAAAGAGAAGAAAATGTAAGAATAAGTTTTCAATAATAATAAAATTAATTTTTTGTCGTATTATGGGTATAAAATCAATGTATACAAAATTTAGAACTCGAATTTGAATTTTCATGGGATGGAAGTATTATAATCATCTAATTCAGTTTTTGTTTTTAAAATTCCATTTGACATTAACATTTAAATTACATTTGAAAATCATATTTAAGTTATAATGTTTAAAATTTAAACAAACAATAATATTAGTCATGCTTGCTTTTAATTAATATTTTCAAAAGTTAATTCAATTTATGTATTTTTTTTAACTAAATGTTAAATAAAAATATGTTTTTGTTTCGTTTTTTATCATCATAATATGAAATGTTTATTAATTTTATTTAAATATAATCTTCATTAAAAAAATCTTTATTACGATTTTTATTCACAAATATATAGTTTTATTCCATCTTATCTCTCTTTTATCAAATATTCTTACTATTATTATTTATTTTTTTACAAATTTCATTTTTAGCTTTAACCAAACAAGTCGGTAATTTAATTTGTACAATAAGAGAATGCAAGAATGAATGAGTATTTTTATCTCTTTATGTTTTTTAAACTAAATATAATTATAATTTCTACTTCAAATTTTACAATTTTTTAAAAATTGATCTATTTTATTACCTTTATTTTTCCGAAATAAAATGTGTTGGTACGTAACTACGTATGACTAGATGGTAGAAACTAGAAAGTAGAAAATAGAAACCAGAAAGTAAGTAGTACGTTGGAGAGGGTGCATGTAAGAAGATGATTGATTGGGATTGAGATTGAGATGACGAAAGTACGATGAAAGGCTGAAACACCACCACCCGCGTAAAAGTCGAGCGTTCTCTGCCACCACTCCTGCACTCTGCACTGCACTCTCTGCACCCTGCTTCTGCCATTACAAAACCCTCTCTCTCTCTTATTTTTTTTCTTTTATATATATTTCACTCTCCACCCATCGTTTTCATTCTCACCCATTCACTTTTTCACCTCTTCCTCCATGTCCCTTTTCACGCTGCAGAGCGTGGTGTGTACGCGGTCTGGGATTGGTGGTTGGTAACGTTATTATTATGCAGCAGTAGTAGTACAGTAGCGAATGGCAATGGGCCCTGCCAGAATGAGTTTTGTACTTTTATGGCAGGAAATGTGGGCCTGGGTGATGGTTAGGGTTAGGGTTTGGGTGTGTAGTTGGGTGGGACAAGCACTTGGGGCGGTGGAGGGTGATGGGAGCGTGCAGATTCTTGTTTGGGTAAGAAAATGAAGAGTGGACAGTGCCTATATTAGAGAGGGTGGTGCTCACATCACAAACACTTATTATTGGCTGAGAAAATTACGTATGGTGGGGGCTGCTTGCTTCTGCTCTGTGATGGTGATGATGATGATGATGTGTTGTAGTATCATCGTGCCTCTTGCATTGCATTGATTTGTGTTGGTGGGCCAACTGGGTGGGAAGAACTGAGAAGGAGGATGTTGTGTATTTGGAACATATAGCTCACTTTGCCCAACAATCTCAGAAAGTGCTTCCATCATTCAGGGCGATTTGGCATGCACTCACAAGAACAATTACAACCTTTGTTTTCGCTTCTTCACCTCACATGTAACTTAACTTGGTATATATATCCATCTCAACTAATAATTTGGATCAACATTAAGTTGAAACACATGCATCAAAAATCTTTTATAGCATGTGTGAACGTTTCCACCACAAACTAGATATTGTTTTCTATCAGTAACCTAACCTCGGGTTTTAAACAAAAGCATGTTGTCGGATTATTACTTTCATGTTTTCATGCATGCTTAGTTTGTGAAAAACCTAATTCGTACACTAATTTAGTTCTTCTTCACAATACTTTAATGAACTAAATTGGTCATGAAATTATTGATAACCCAAATTAATGAGTAAAAACGCTAACATATTTCGCAATTTGGAGGGTTTTTCCTCAAAATCATATACTCTTAAAAAGGCATTAACATTGTTTCCTTCACATGATAGAACTTAAGCTATTAGCATAAATATATTAGGAGTTGATGAGTTTGATTTTGAATGGAATTGATGGTTTGACGTTGATGCTTTAATTAAATCTTCATTTATGATCTGAAACCAAATTTCTCTTTCTTTTAAAGGCCAGTAATGTCCAATCTCATTAAAGATTACTCATTTTTGGTAATCCATGCTATTTTGAGCATGACACAATCGAAACGGGGAAGTACGATATGTTAAGAATGGGAATGACATAATTGATATTGAGTATATAATCATGCATGCATTCAAATAAATAGCTAGGGGACCAAATATGTGCTACTCTTGCTAAATAGATCATGCCCCATGCACTCTACTCTACTTCATCATGTCTTCCTTGGCTAATCCAATTATTAATTCAGATTCATGAATTTCTTCTTCTCACACTGGTGGAAGCTACGTCACTAAAGCATTTATATACATAACCTTCTAAAGCAATGTATTTTCATATCATGAAATTATAACTTTGATTAACTTTTTCTTTTCTCGGTTTTGTAAATGAAATTAGAGAACTTTATTTAACACTTGCACGGGCGGTGAATATTAAGATTATCCCTATAGTGACAATTTCTTTGTTTTAATTAGAGAAACAATTATTCCAAAATGGACCATTAAGAGATGTTTATATAACAAATTTTATGTATATGATTAATAAGTACACGTTATATATATATATATAGTATATATATATATATATATATATATAAATATATATATGATAGATAATTTCAACTTTACATTTTTATCATCAAATAAATAATTGCATGTGTTATTTTCCCTTGTAAACATTCATTTTGGCAGTATTTGTATATTAAATATTTAGGAAAATAAAATATAATAAAACATTTTTTTTACTTATAAATATTAAAATGATTAATTTTAAATTTGAAGGATAAAATGTAAAATTAATTTTACTTAGGAGACTTAAAACATATTAAAATTAAAATATGTTTTTCGTAAATATGTCCTTTAACAAAAATATATTGACTCTTTTATGATAAGGTGACTTCTAATAGTATTGTACTACTACTTCTTAGTTGTTTATATTTTTATGATCCAAATTGTCCTTCATTAATTTGTCTTTTATTTGGCCTATTTTACTACTTAAACTTATCAACTTAGATACCCACTAGGCTGCAATATTAAATGAAGTACATAGTAGATGTAGATTTGGGTTTATTTATTTATTTAAAATGTGAACACAAAGATAAGTACTATAAATGCCCTACTCAAACCCTAATTCCTAGCCATTACTACCTAGCTATAATCTTGATTGTTTAGCATATTCTTGATGCTAACCTATTAGCGTTTACCTATCCTAAGTTGCTATACATCAATCATACTTAAGTTATTTCCCAATACTTTAACAAAACTTACTTTCAGCAATAATTGTAAAGTGGCAACCAATACTTAACTTATTACCCAACACTTATATATAACTTTTGCAGTAATAAACATTAACCTGTTCTTAAAGGAACTGTGCAAGCTAGCATGAGACACTGAACCAATTCTCAGATGTAAAATGGTCAAACAAAATGAGTGGTGAAAAACATTTTCTGGAGAGCAGAGAAAAGAATGGAATTTGCTCACTACAGCTACAAATCAAATCTGAGATGGCGTGGTGAAATGGTGGTGTCAAATTGTCACACTAGTCATCAAAATATCACGCAGTCAGCACTCACAAAGATCACATATAGGTCAAAAGCTATGGTAGTACAAAGATTGCTCCCTCATAATATTTAAGAATTTATGAATTTAAATGTGACTTGAAATTTTATACTAAGTAAAAATAGATAATTTAAATACTTTATAAATTAAAAGACCATAACCTAATAATTTAAAAGTGATATTATGTTAGTTTCCATATGTGATATATATGTGCTGCTTTATATCAATAAAATTTGCACACGAATAAGAAAATGGTGGAATCTACATATCGAATTTTACTCTCTCAAAAAGATGAAATTCCAGAGGTAAATTAACTTGGTTTAGCCCAATCTGTCTCAATTAATTGCAATATTCTTCTTATTTTAATATAATATATTTAATTATATTGCACTCAAGGTCTATTTATTTGTGTTTTAAGAAAGTAATTATTACAAAGTAATTTGTTTATAAATGATTTATTTTTTAAGTAATTCCAAATTGCTTCTAAAAAATAATTTTTTTCATGTTTCTGTTTTTAAACAAATTTAACAAATGTTAAAATAATAAGTGATAATTTGATTAAAAAATCACTATTTTCCTACAAAATTTAATCAAACGTACTCATAATTCTTAATCAATTATAAGTTCTTTTCATAATATTAGTAATAATTAATATAATTAATTAATTAAAATAAATAAATAAATGAAACTATCAATATTATTAAATAAAAAAAAATTTCTACTTTCTTTCACCTAATTTAAATATTCTCATTTTTTACTTCAATTCACTTTTTTTTCTACTATTCAATTTCATCCACATCATTCAAATGGGATTAGTGTTTTTTTATTTGTCATTATTTGAAGAGCAATTCAAGGACTTAAATTTTATTTTGAATAAACTAATTTAAAATACCCATTTGAAATCTTAACCGTTATTAAATAATACTGAGTAGCAGGACCATCCTAATACACACTTGTGTTGCGTACTAACATTATTTTGCAGTGGAGTACCTCATACGTGCCTCTTCTATATGGAAAACTGATCCAGATGTTGTTGAAACTTGAAACAGGAACCAAATTAGCATCACATTCCATCATGATTGTACTTTAACTTGTTAAAAGCTACCATCTTTCACTACAAAAATGGAGAGAGCTCAATACTTTGAAGGAAAGGTTTTTGGGTCATGCAACCTGTAACACTGCATGATAATTGAATCTAATTCATATTGGTCACGTCCCATTTACGAGAATCCATCATGGAGCACATAACCCGTAGCATGGCTCAGTAACTTTTGTCCATCCCAATCCAATCTTTTTCACAGAAAGCACTGATGCAAAGTTAAAATTCACATGAAGGAGAGATAAACACAGTGTAACAAACATCATTAATAAACAGCTTTGTTTCTTTTGCTGTTCGAAGTCCGAGTATGGAAACCAAACATTAGTCAAAAAAATCAAAACTTAAAGCATATTTCAAGACTTAAAAAGTTTGATGTTGAAAAATATAGTAGAGAAGAAATTGAGAGTTGAAGGGGCGTGGAGAAAGGGATTCCGGAAAAGGATAAAAGCATGGGGCAGGGCTATGAGAGGGTTATGCAAGTAGGTGCAGAAACTAGGAGGGTCCTAGGGTGTAAGACCTGCCTTTAGCTGGGTTCTGGGTCCTTTGCAATTGATGGTTTCTGATAAAGACCTGCTACTTTTAAATTTTCATTACCACTCAGAGTGGTTGCTATTGTGATGTTAACACAGTGAGATTGAATTCACAAATGTGCCACTTTTTTCCACAAATGTAAGGGGAAGGAAGATGTTGTTGGTCTTTGCCTCTACTCAATTTGCCTTCTAGCTTTTACTCTCATTCCCTGCTGGTCAATAGGTACAACCCCATTGCCAATTTTTTTACCAACATTTATGGCATTTTCAAAAACTTTCATCACCTTCATACGTCCCTTGACGTATGACCCTTGCCATTTTCAAAAAGTTTCTAGAGATCTTAGAAAATTGTTTTTTCATCTTGTGATCAATTTAATTTCACATATATAAGACGTGTATGAATCGATCTAAAATTGGAAAGATATATAACCACACAACCTTCAACTAAAGTGAACATGTAAAAAGAACATGACTTTATATAGTTTAACCTAAAATTAAAAGGATTCACTATTCTCTAACCTTAAGCAAACATGCAAATAATACTTAAAAGATCTCATAAAAACATAACTCATAAATTCAACCCAAAATTGAGATGTAATATTTAGTCTCGAGTAAAAAGTAAATGAAACTTTAAAACTTTAAAAGATCGAATAATAACATAATGGTTTATTCATTGCAAATAAAAAATGTGAATCATGTAGAAAAACCTCACTAAGTCATATTATATATACATAAGAGGTAAGGAAATAGATGTTTTAAGTGTTAGTCAATTGGATTGGTCTTATATATAACTCATTAACTGTGTTATGACTTTAAATTATGACGAGGAGTCGATTATGATATGACATCATGTGGGTAAAATTTAATCTTGTTAATTATGGTAATGAGATATTTTATTAAGTTAAATCTAACCTAAATACACCCAGGTGACAACTATTACTCAATCTTGATATAATTTGTTTATTGACTTGAATAATGTATTATGTAGAATTAATAAAAAGAATTAATATATATATATATATATATATATATATATATATATAAAGAATTTAATAATATCGTTTTTATTTATTATAGTAGTTATCATTAATGTAAATGAATATAATAAATATCAAGATCAAATTGTTTATTTTTATAAATAAAATTTTGTTTCTTTTTATAAACAACAATTATCCAATTTTTGGAAGTATATTTTTTGAAAACAAGTAAG